GCTTTTGTGATTTCTGATTCTTACTTGACGAATTAATTGTCTATCTCACTGATGGAAGGGCAGAATGGAAGAGTAAAAATCATCAAAAAGTCAATTTCTCCACTTTCATGTTAAATGTTCAATCTAAAGCATGACATTACTTTATCTCTGGAAAATTAATTCTAACTAATCACCTGAGTGAAGTAACTAAGGAAAGAATAGTACTAAATATTTTTATTCAACAAATGAAAGTTGTTGATATTGGTGCTTTTATCATGTGTAATGCTCAGAGCATTGTTAGAAGTGGGACAGCTAGTGATTTGGGATATCCTGCTCTGATTTTTACTTTATGTGAACAATCAGGAGTAGAATTTGATAGAAATGAAGAAATGTTGTAACCACTGAAACCCGTTGGAAAACCTATAGTGCATAAATTTAAATCATTTGCTGGATCTAGAAGTGGAAGTCGTAATAAACCCTCCACATCAGCTGTAGGACCATCTACTTCTAGTTATGTTTCAATAGAAAATATTATGGAACAGTTATTGATTCAACAATCAGATCTCATAGCAATGCAGAACAAAATAGGATGTTTGGAAGTCAGAAACGCTTACAATGATGAATATAAGCAGAGAAGAGTCCAACATGACATTGCGTACGAAGAGTCGATGGTTACGCCTTATGTGCAAGAAAATGAAGAACTAGAGAAATTTGTTGTTTGAGGAGGAAGATGATGAGTAAAATTTATACAATTTTGTTTGTTTATATTTGTTGTTTTTTGTTTTATTTTATTGTGGATGGTAAGATTAGAACAATTTATGTGTTTTGGTTTGTGGGATTTTCATTTCAGCTTTGTTAGTTTCTTTAATTTGTTGTTTATGTTTTTAATTTATTTTGTCCTAGCAATTCCTTTGATATATTATGTTTCATTTAATAATTTAAAGTATATTCTTTTTAAATTAGTACCTGCAATATGTCAGAGCCAAGTTTCATATTCAGAATCCTCTACATGATATTTTTATTTTATCCATCTACTATTTTCTTTCACCTACAAAATTTTTGTACTATATGTTTTACTTATTAATTAAAAATTTAAGTTTGGGGGAAAGAAAAATTTCTTAGAAAGAAGTAAACTAAATTTTCTTTGTCCTCAATTAATTATATTTTTAAAATTCATTTAACATGACCTTGGATATCGAAGTTTAACTTTAAATAACTATATTTTTGTTAGTAAATATTATGGTAAATTTAAGCAAAAATCTTTAATAATGAAGGTCAATTATAGAGTTAAGATATTTAGTATGAAAGAATAAGACTATGTTTTTTCTATTTAAAGTTAAGAAAATTGTATTTTTAAAGTACTAAGAATCTTAACTTTCATGTAAGAAGAAAAGAATGAGACTTTATAAAAAATCTTCAAAGCTATTATAAATTTATAAAGTGAAGGAAGGTAAGTAGATTTAACTTCAAGAAGAGGATAGTGAAGTTCAAAATTAAAGACTATCTAGATATAGTAATCCCTGCATGAAAAAGAAAAAAGGAGGAAGAATTGAAAATGATCTTAAAGAAAAGAAAAGAAAAATATGTGAGGAGAAGCTTGAGGATGTGCTTAATAAAAAATTGGCTTCACTTGAATCAACTTGAGGAAAAAGGCTTCATTATATTTTCTAAACTTGTATCTGAGTATTAACATCTTTACTAATGAAGTTTTCATGAAATTATTTTTCATATGGATATTCTAAGTATCTTTCATATGAAAAATTACAATTTTTCTTGAAATGAATGGAGATTAAGAAATCTTAGACTTGATTACTAGGTGTTCTTATAATTGTAGTTTTAACCTAAGTTGTTAAATGTTTTTCTTAAGTTGTACTATTATATTTATTAATTCAAATTATAGTATCTTATAAATTAATCTCTCCCATAAGTCATATTTTTATGTAGTAAAAGAGTCACTTGAAGACAAGTAACATTTAAGTTTGGGGGATTTTGATACATTAAAATAATGTTCAATTTTATGTATTCATTCTATGCTTAAATTTGGTGATATTACACTTTAAAGAAGGGTATTTTCATGTTTTGTTGCAGTTTTATCAATTTTAAGCAATTAGAACAAAAAGGAGCAAAAAGAAAGAAATTTGGCATCAAAACGGAGCATTTCAACATCTTAGCGCCAGAGCCACCATTTTACAGATAAACGACGCTAGAATCCAGAATATTGCGACCTTCAATAGGCTAGCGCCCGAGGCGCCAGACATAAAATAAGATGGAGTGAGGCAATTAGTGACTATTTGTGAGCAGTTTTTCAAGGCTCCAATCAATTCAAACATCCTATGGAGTGATTCAATGTATCTAGACACTTTGGAAAGGGTCTTGAATAAAGGGACTTGTCTCTTGTTGTGAAGAGCTGTACCTTTTGGAAAGAAAAGAGGGAATTTTGAATTTTCTTGAAATTGAAGGCTGACCCTAATTAAAAAGATAGGGAAGATTCTAGAGAAATGGGCGGCGAGAGGTCTGAAGGGAGAGTCTGCGTGAGAGAGAAGTCTTGGGAGAAGAGAGGATTTTCTTCTAAAGTTTTAAGAGGAGAGGGAAGGTGAAAGATTTCTTCTTCATTACATTTCTAAGAGAGAATTGAGTGTGATTGTAAAGAGAGAAAGTTCTTAACAGGAACTTCAAGGGATTTGCTTGAGAAGGAGTGTTAGATAAGTTGTGTTCTTTTCTTTCTTTGTTTTGTAAACTTATTTTTATATATAAAATCTATGTTTTTTCATATCCTTCTCATGAATTCCGAGTAGTATTCTTTAATATTCTCCATACAATGAGATATGATTTTGTGAAGAATTAATTTTGTTATATAAGATTTTAAATGTCAATAAATTGTGATGATTCAAAATTGTGATTAATTTTGGTTTTCATTTACTTTTCTATCTGGCCAATTGAAATGTTAAATTTTGTTGAGAAATAAAAGATTCGAAAAGGCTATGGTTTCTACAACAAGGTAAGAGTCACATTCAATTTCATACGTGAGAATGTACTCGATTGGGTTGAGTGCAAATAAAAAGGGAAATATACTTTGATAGACGTATAATTGGAGATTTTAATGTGACAGATTAAAATCCTCAATTTTGTCCAGTTTCTTGGAAACTAACGAGATTTTTAGCCCTCAGGGGAGGGAGAAGTGAGAGCTCTGAAGTGACAACCAGTATCCTCTCAACCTAACCACAGATTTAGGGACCAAACTCTAGATTAGTCAATGTTCTTTATGCACTCTCATAGGGTAAAAAATAGGATTGCTCCTATTTGGCACAATACAATTTAATATGTATTTTAAATGATTTAAATTATTTCACAATCAATAAACTCATTATAAAAGGGAAAGATATTTTCTTAAATTTGAACTCTTCACTAAAGAACTTTATTTAGTCTTTATAAGTTTACTTTTGAAGCTTAACAAATAGTTAAGTTAACTTAGTTCTTTTAACTAAATTTCATTTAGCACACAGTAAATTTACTTTAAATTTTTTTTGCTTACTTAAAGTTTTATAGTTTGAATATTTTGTTTGACTTTATAACCATAAGAATTTCCAACTCCCTGTGAGATGGATACTAAGGACTCCATTAGAGCCCTTTTTTACGTGAGTGATTTGTATACTTGCATTATGATTGCGGTTTGACAACTTAAAGACATTAAAAAATAAAACTGTTTATACTGAATTTATGTTTATTTGGAGTTAAGTGCATATTTACTACTCATGTTATCGTGTGTGTATTGTAGTATTGAAAGATATTTACAACGCACCACAAAACTGCCCGCATCAGTTGTTGTTGATGATCCTGACGAAGATTGTTTGGAAGCTTCAGAAGACTTTGAAGATTCTCCAGTTAAAGATGCTGAGCCAGAGTTTGAAAAAATAATTAAGTCAACAATCGATGAGCTTAGAGAAATTAACTTGGAGACTAGTGAAGAGCCTAGACCAACCTTTGTTAGCCCCTTGCTTAGTGAAGAAGACTCCGTGAATATGTTCAAATTGTTAATGGAGTTCAAAGATTGTTCATATGGAGTTAGGAAGATTGTTTCGTGAATATGTTCAATATTGCTCACTTGTAGTGTTGTTCACAAATAACACAAAGGTGTCATCTAAACCCTAACCGAAGAACTGCAAGAAAACACTTCAACTACTAGCAAATCCCTAGCTCAAAAAGAAAAAATGAATCATTGCGCCATATTTTAAACAATGCGCCAGATTTTGAAAAATGTTTCGAATTTAGAACAGTGCTCCATATTATTTCTTTATTTATGGGATAGCACGGGTAGGGTCACGCGGCAAAATACTCCTTTTCATTTTTTCTTATTTTTTAGTGTGTTTGACACTTTATAAATGTCCATATTTAATTCGAGTCTAGATGCAACCTTGCGTCTGGGCTTCAGATGCAATATTTTCAAGTAATTTGGTTTAACTAAGCTCTATGATTTTTATTTATAATATTTTTTACTTTTAAAAATTTATACATATATATTTTTTTTATTTTTTGCTCTTTAATCAGCTAGATTGTTCGAAATTTTCACTTGGCTGCTAGATTTTGTAAATAGTGATGTTTTAGGGGTCATGTATGTAATTATCCAACCCATATTAACATTTTTTTATCTTCCAAAAAAGTGCCTTCCACTTAAACATTCAAAAAAAATAACTAACTGAATAAAATTTATTCCTCAAACAATTGATGCACAAAAAATAAAATACATGCCAATTTTTTATTTTTATCAAATTTTCAATAGTTTCATTATGATATGCGTAAGTAAATCATTTCAATAGTTTAAATCTTTTTAAAAGAATGCCAAATTTTATAAATAGCGATGTTTCCGGGCTATGTATGTAATTACATAGCACCCAAACATTGCAATTACAAACATAGCACCCCAAACAACGCTATTTATAGGTCTACCACCTACTTTCATCTATTTTTAAAATTCTTATTAAAATATCAAAATTCATGATAAAACTCAAACTAATATTGCTCATTTTTATCAGATTCTCAATGAATATATCGATTTAATAATTTAAAATTCTCACATGAGGGCTAGATTCCATAAATGCCAATATTTTGAGTGTTGTGTGTGTAATTACCCTGCTGCAACCATTCACCCTTGCGCCACCGGTTCGTCGGGCACGAGGATATTGAACTCACTGAGCGTCCACTCAGCCACCTGATTCGCACTAACATAAATCTCAGTACCAACATCCAGTGACGTCCACCTCCTTATCACCGGCACGGTGCCTGGATCTTGATAAAAGTAAAGCACCTGTGAGATCAAGCCAACGTCAAGTTCCCACGCTCTGGCATCACCAATCCATCCCTCTCCCTTCTTTGTAGGGTAGCCATAAGCCCCCCACGCAGGATGCGGGAGGATTTGCAGAATCTCTTGTGGTTGTGGGTTGCTATAAGCGTCGCAAAGATTGTGTGGCTGTTCGAGGTGCTGGGCATTCCCGGGGGCGCAGTACATGTGGTAGGCGGCATAGGGGAAGCGGGCAGAGTCGCTGCGGTGGATACGGGTGCCGTTGGGGAAGGTGTGGTAGGGCGGGCAATTGTTTAGGCTGTCTTTGTGGCACCAGGCTGTGGTATCAGGGTTAAGGATCATTTCACTGTAGCGGGTCACGTCGGTCTCCACGTTGCCATCGCAGGGCTGGCCGTTGTTTTTCCAGCAACTACCCATGTCAAGCAGGTAGAATTGGCTCTTTGGTCCGCCGCCTTGTTTTATTTCTAATCTTAAGCGTATTTTGAAGTCAGGAGACTCGGGGATCTGAGGAACAAGAGAAACCATTAGACGCTTGTTATGTTACACATACAAATTTAAAGCTAAAATTTTTTAGTAGGTAGACAAATTGTTTTGATCAGATTAAGAACGTAACGTTTGTTTAAGAAATTCTTTGGACTGGTAATACGGAACATTATTTTGGAATCAATTCCTTTTGTGAAGTCTGTCAGAAATCGGCTCTCTAACTCTTTGTTAGAGTTATGGATCAAATCACTGGACATTATTAATAAAGAATGGAAAACAAATACGAAAATGTAATGGTGGCATGTACTACCAAACAAACTGAAGAATTACCTTTGGACAATGGTGGAGCAAAATTTTTAAAGCGGTGGTATCAAATATTTTTTTCAAAAACTTTCCGACATGTTTTAATCTTGCTTAGAACATCCATTTGCAGTGTTAATTCTCTTATTAGATCTTTTTAATAAAAATAAAAAATATAATGACAAAAGATTTACAACAAACATCTTGTTTCATGTTCTTAGTCCAATATATAAAAAATATAATGACAAAAGATTTACAACAAACAAAAGATTTACAACATGCAAATATAAAGAATTTTTATTGAAATGGAAGGCAATAAACAATTAAACAAACTGAGCAATAGAAGCTGCCTGTTTGGTTGTTTAAATTATGGAAATTGTTGGGCTTGTTTAAAGTCCTATAAAAAAAAAGACCTTACCAAAATTGGCAAAACTAAAAAACGGAATGGAATTAAGAAAAACAGAACGGGAGCTGAAATTGGGAATTAGGGAAAGGTAAAACAGAAAACTTACCGACCTGTTTTATCATTCGATGTGTGTAAATATGAAAGCATTGGTGTGAGATATATAATACGTTGGTCTATTAAGCTTTCATTCTAATGACCTATTTTCTCACTCATTCTATGTGGAGAGTTTAGGTGTGAGATATGTAAATACATAAGGATTGGGTGCTATGTGAGAAACAGAGATACAGAAAAGCATTTAGGAGATCGGAATGAGTGGGATTATATCAGCAAGTCATTATTCAACTACTGTTTTCTTGAATCCATACGTTCCATAGTATTCCTTTATATATACAGATCATGGGAAGGTTCTAGAAATGAATTAGTACATAAGTTATTATAATATATGTCTATCATTCGTAGTGACCATATAGGTGTTTTCATTCCATAGGTAGTGGTGTAGCGCTTGCAAATAATCTTTCCTTAGGTAGTGATGTAGTGCTTCTAATACCCCCTTGCAAGCTAACGGTTCTTTGAAAAGTTGTAAGCTTGGTGTGAAGGTCATGAAATTTGCACTTTGGTAAAGTTTTTGTAAGTATATCGGCAGGTTGATACTGAGTGTGACTATGCAATTTGCAGATGTTTGGAGTTGATGGGGTCACTTATAAAATGATAATCAATCTCTATGTGTTTCATCATTACGTGGAAAATAGGATTGTTGGCGAGTGAGATGGCCGATATGTAATCCCATTGAAGGGAGTCGGATGCTAAAATTGAATGCCAATTTCTTGAAGAAGACAAAGTAGTTTTATAAGATCGGTGGTTGCCACAGTTAGTGCCCTGTACTCTACCTCCATTATTGATTTCGTTGCTTTGGAATGTTTCTTCACCATCCAAGAAATTAGAGTGTCACCAAGAAAAAAGCATACCCTAGTAGTTGATTATCGTTCAAGGTGATCCCCAACCCAATCAAGGTCATCATATGAGCGAAGATAAAAATCTCGAAGGCAATGTTCCATGCCAAAATGACTTGTGCTTTTTAGATATCTAAGCAGATATGTTTGGAGTTTGTAGTGAGTTGTGGTTGTAGAATGCATGTGTTGGCATGACAAGTTTACGACATATGCTATGTTTGGGTTGGTGCGGTGAGTTATTGATGTAAAGCAGATAATTGGCGCTAAAGTGTGGGGTTGTGGAATGGTGTGGTTTCTATGGATGAGTTCGGTTGACGTAACGGCATAAAACTGTTGAGGGGTGTGCAATCCTGCATCCCTGTGCCATGAAGAGGTTGAATAAGATACCTTTCCAGATAGAGGTAACAAGAGGTAGCCGATTTTTAACCTTCAATATCGTGGAAGCACCCTATCGGGCCTAGATGCTTCAACTGGAATTTAGTGACCATCTTAACGATCGGCTTGGAAATCTCCATAATTTTTTTGCCAGTAATGAGAATATCGTCAACGTAGACAACCACAATTATTTAAATGTTGTTTTGACAATATAAAAGAAGGGATGGACCCGCTTTGCTGAAATGAAAACCATTAGTCATGAAATATTGAGAGAACGTGATAAACCACTGTTTTAAAGCCTATTTAAGGCTGTATATCGATTTATTGAGCAAGCAAGCATGATTTGAGAATTGAGGATCATTAAATCCAAGCGTTTATTCACGTATACAATTTTATGGAGGTTGCCATGAAGGAATGTATTGGAGTTGTCATGCTGGAGTATATTTCAGCCAAGATGAGTGCCGCTTTAAGGTGGATGCAAATGGTAGGGACTTTAGCGATCGGGTTAAATGTTTCATGGTAGTTAACACCAAATTTTTGCTTGTGTCCCTGAGTGACGATGCATGCCTTCTAACATGTGACTTTACTGTGGGAGTTCGTTTTGGTTTTATATTTCCAACGTGAGCCAAGAATAAGTTGATTAACTGGGGAAAAATCAAAGACCCAGTTCCTATATCGTCAAAGTGTTGTGAACTCTTCTGTCATAGCTTTCCAACAATGAGGTAATTTAAAGGCTTGGGTGAAGGACATAGGATCAGGAGGGGGTTGAAGTTAGTGTAACAAATTGAGTTTTTGAGTCGGTTTGAGGTGGCCTTATTTGGATCTAGTGGTCATTGGATGTGCTGGTGAAGTGATACCCATTGGCAGTGGGAGTGGATGGGAGTTAGAAGAATGTGGAGCTGGCTCTAGCGAAGTGGGAGTAGGTGCAGTAGGATGGATTCTTGTAGGAGATGGGGGGATGGAGGGACTACACTTCAAAGATGTGGGTTGTAAGAATGTTATTGGTAATAGGAAATATAGAGAAATATGGACGAAATTAGGTGACTGATTTGTGGGCAAAGAAGAGGAGTGTTGAGTAAATGGAAAATTGTTTTCGTTAATGACCATGTGCCTTGAGATAATAATTTGGTTTGTCATGGGATTGTAGCATTTGTAGCCCATATGTTGGAGGGAGTAGCCCATAAATATGCATTGAACTAATTTAGGTTCAAATTTGTGTTTAGTTTGAGGTTTCCTCAAGGGATAACAATCACATCCAAAAACTCATAGATGAGTGTATGTTGGTGAAGATTTGTCGAGATGTTCATATGGGTAGATTTATTAGGTAGTTTTGTTGGGCATGCGATTGATTAGATGTGTTGCTGTGAGAAGGGCTTCTGTTTAAAATTTATATGGGACATGTGCCTGATGTGGTCGAGCACGAGCAGTCTCCGTAAGATGTCTAAGTTTTAGTTCAACCACTCCATTTTGTTAGGGCATTTATGGACATGAGTATTGGTGGAGGATGCCATTTTTGGGTAAGAAATTGATTGAGATTTTGGTTATTATCTGCTTCACTACCATCTCAGCAAAAAAATTTTATGTTTGTATTGAACTGATTCCGTATTAAGGAAATGAAATTTTGGGTTATTTGTGTTGTTTGAGATTTGGAATACTGATACACCAAAATAATGTGCGATTTTATATATACATTTTATGCTTAATTTTGATGATATTGCACTTTAAAAAATTGTGTTATTATGTTTTTTGCATGTATACTGATTTTAGGCAATTAGAGCAAAAAGGAGCAAAAAGAAGAAATTTGGAGTCAAAACGACGCATTTCAGCATTCTGGCACCATTTTCCAGAGAGCTGGCACCAGAGGCGTCATTTTACAGAGAAGCGGTGTCAGAAGCGCTAGAATTGACACTAGAGGCGCCAAAATTCAAAACAACGCGAACTTCAGTAGGCTGGCGCCATAGGTGCCAGAGATGAAATAAGATGGAGTAAGGCGGTTAGTGACTATTTTTTAGTGGTTTTTGAAGGCTCTAATAAATTCAAACATCAAATGGAGTGATTCAATGCATCTAGACACTATGAAAATATTCTTAAAAGAAATGACTTGTCTCTTGGTGTGAAGAGGTGTGTATTTTGGGAAAAAGGTGAGAGTTTTGAATTCTCTTGAAATGAAGACTGACCCTAATTAGAAAAGAGGTGTCTAGAGAAGAGGAGGGGCGAGAGGTTTGAAGAGAAGAGGTTGGCATGAGAGAGAAGTCTTGGGAGAAGAGAGGATTTTTTTCTGGAGTTGTAAGAGGAGAGGGAAAGTGAGATTTATTCTTCATTACATTTCTAAGAGAGAATTGAGTGTGATTGTAAAGAGAGAAAGTACTTAAAGAGAACGTCAATGGATTTGCTTAAGAAAGAAATTTAGATAAGTTATGTTCTTTCCTTTCATTGTTTTGTAAACTTATTTTTATATATAAAATCTATGTTTTGTCAAATTCTTCATATGAATTATGAGCAGTCTTCTTTATCTTTCTCCCTACAATAAGATATCATTTTGTAAAAAATTAACGTTGTTATATAAGGTTTTAAATGTCAATAATTTGTGATGATTCAAACTCTGATCTTCATTTATTTCTCAATTGAAATTTTAAATTTGTTGAGAAACATAAGATCCGAAAGGGTTGTGTTTTCTGCAATAAGGTAAGAGTCATTAAAGTTCATGGGTGAGAATGTTGTCAATGGAGTTGCATGCGAATCAATAGGAAAATATACTTTGATGAACACAAAATTGGAGATTTTAAGGTGACAGATTAAAAACCCCAATTTGGTGTAATTTCTTAGAAACTAAAGTGAGCTTGTTAGCCCTTGGGGGAGGGAGAAGTGAGAGCTCTGGAGTGGCAAATAATTTCCTCTCAACCTACCCACTGATTTAAAGATCAAACTCTGGATTAGTCAATTTTTTTATGCACTGAGTGGGTAAGGAATAGGATTGCTCTTATTTGGCA